GGTCAGGCTGGTCTCGAACTCTCGACCTCAGGTGATCTGCCCGCCTTGGCCTCCCAAAGTGCTGGGATTACAGGCGTGAGCCACTGCACCCGGCCTAAGAGGCCTTATTCTGAAGTCAAAAGAACAACCTGGATTTGAGTTCCCCAGCTCCAAAATTAACTGGCTGTTATTTGGGTCAATCTTAACTACTCTCCTCATCTGTAAAAATGGGGGTGGCCTGGCCAGGTGTGTTGGCTCACACCTGTAATCCCAGCACTTTGGGAGGCTGAGGTGGTTGGATCACCTGAGGTCAGGAGTTCGAGACCAACCTGGCAAACCTGGTGAAACTCCATCTCTACTAAAAATACAAAAATTAGCTGGGCATGGTGGTGGGTGCCTGTAATCCCAGCTACTCGGGAGGCTGAGGAAGAAGAATCACTTGAACTCTGGAGGCAGAGGTTGCAGTGAACCGAGATCACGCCATTGCACTCCAGCCTGGGTGACAGAGCGGGACTCTGTCTCAAAAAAAAAAAAAAAAAAAAAATCAAATTAAAAAAAATGGGGGTGGTTGCACATGCACTGAGCGCTGGCATTGTGCTTCAAGATTGTGAACTTGAGGTTGGGGCCATTTTCTCTGAGTCCCCAGCACCTTGCATAATGCAATATAGGGTATACAATAAACATTTGTTGAATTTCTAAATATTTAGCATCTACCTTATGCCTATAATTGATTAGTACTGTGATACAAAGATGAATAATGAAACAGGTATGTAATAAGTGCTACAATAAGGATGTAGACAAATGCAATGGTAGCAAGAAAGACAAAAACAGGACTGACCACTGGGTTTGGTCAGATGATTGTTTAATAAGCAAAAAGTCTACCACCAGTGGAGAGTGGGGCCAGAAGTCAGATTATAGTGAAATATAAGTGGTCGTGTTGCATAAAGCATCAGTATTTTCTTTCCTCCTTTCCTTCCTTCTTTCTTTCTTTCCTTTCTTTTTTTGAGACAGAGTTTCACTCTTGTTGCCCAGGCTGGAGTGCAATGGCCCGATCTTGGCTCACTGCAACCTCCGCCTCCCGGATTCAAGCAATTCTCCTGCCTCAGCCTCCCGAGTAGCTGGGATTACAGGCACCCACCACCACACCCGGCTAATTTTTGTATTTTTAGTAGAGATACGGTTTTACCAAGTGGACCAGGCTGGTCTCGAACTGATGTCAGGTGATCCACCTGCTTTGGCCTCCCAAAGTGCTGGGATTACAGATGTTAGCCTCCAAGTCTGGCCACATCAGTGTTTTGTTTTGTTTTGTTTTGTTTTGAGACGAAGTCTCGTTCTGTCGCCCAGGTTGGAGTGCAATGGCACAATCTCGGCTCACTGTAACCTCCGCCTCCCGGGTTCAAATGATTCTCATGCCTCAGCCCAACGCTAGATTGGTTTTTCCGAGCCTGTGAACTCCATGGAGTTGCCAGATAAGCGCAGTCCCGGTGGACCAACGCCCAGGACGGATGCT